ATCTTCGAAGCTGTTTACTATAGGCGTAATTTTACAAAACGTGTTTCGATATGTGGTGTATGAAGGCACACCACGTTCGCGTCCTCTTTGGATGTTCAGGGATATGAGGTCGGACAAGTCACCGGGGCCTCGAAACAAGTTTTCTTGTATAGACTTGGAGAAGAGCCTGGGGAGAGAATCAGGCCAACCCAAGGATCAATCGTATGCAAATCAATATCGTGTATCGAGTAACTGATAATCCTACTCATAATTAATATTTATAAAAATAGGAATTTTCAAGAACCTTATTTATTACTTTTTGGCAGTTACGTTTCATTCTAAGTTACCTGATAGGAAATATTTTTCCAGCAAATATTCTAGCACGGAGTTTAAATTTCTCGAGGTAAAAAGTTTGAATCAGAAGTATTTGGGTAAAATGATATTTCGTTCGATGTTTTCGTGAAATGAACTGTTTGGTTTTCGCACAACCACCACTTTTCCTCTTTCGTCTAATAACTCCTCCCTTCCCCCTTCGGATGAAAACGTATCGATTGGCTTGTTTCTTCCAGGCAAGAGATACGTACAAAACTGTTCTATCAAAAATTAATCTCCTACTTACTCACCCATCAATTTTGGCTGCTGGACTTTTAACCAAGCCTCTAAAAATGGAATCGACACCCCCGTTACACTTATCGTATAAGTAGGTTGGATTACCAAAGTCCTTTACCGGGATGGGATAGAACTCGGACTTAGAATCATTGTTACATTTGTGTTCAAAGCTATGCTGACTAAGACGTAGAAACTCCTCTTGAACCAAACTATGGCCAAATCGGTAAGCCGCCGCAGAGAAGGCTTGAGACATTTGAGCATTGACATTAGGGTTGTAACCGTTGAAATACCGTGTTCCTTTCAGCAGAGCAAGATTGTTGTCTCTGATCTAAAAAATGAAGAAAAGAAGTCAGTTTGGAATTAGAAAAAAAACAGAGATTAAAACAGTTACTTACCGTTTTGGGGCTAAGAAGCAGTGGCAGATCTTCTTTGTATGTAATGAATTGTAATTCCGCCCCAACGATTCTCCTAGTCTCCTGGTAAATCTGCTCCGCTTCCCATTCTGTGTTTTCATCAAAAAATGCTGCTATTCGGTTATGCTCCCGGACGAAGAGAGTATGCATTGACATGAGACCTGTTGTATCCAGGAAATATATAGCATTAGCAAGAAGATAAAAGAGCTATTTAATATAGGAGGAGATGGAAGGGCTTGCGACTGGAAGATGTCCGAAAAATGCCCACGCAGGACACTCTCTTTATTGCTTGTCGAGTATGAGTTATTTCACGACCTGAAATGACCGAAAAGCACTTTCTCCTCGCGACATAAGATATGGTTGACATTCAGAAGCAATAGTGTTGAGATCTTGGGACCAAAGGGGTTAAACAGAGCTTGTGTGCAATTCCAACATTTCAGTCACGTTTTAATAGGGAAGTCTGTGTATAAGCCTTCACACCTTGAACCTTTGACAATGCGTGGTCTACATGTGTAGAAGTAACAATATTTTATAGTTTTATTGTAAATATTCGATATGAATACGTTAGACACGTCTTTGAAAAAGGTCGCTATACTACGGTCTTTTTGTCTTAATCAGAGAATCGAATGAAGGGATTTGGTGATCTCACCTTGATTCTCGTTCGTGCGCTCGTCTCCGGCTACGAAACAAGGTCTGTTAGGATCTTTTGATACGC